TTATTTACTTATTTTTACCTTTGATTATAAATTATGATATATAAAGAATTTTTTTATATAATTTTTTTACTTAACATTTATATGTTATTAAATAAATAAATATATATAATATTATAAATTTTAATAGAGTTAAAAAAAGTCGATTACTAAATCACATATAAAGTTGTATGGAGAAAATTGTATAAAAATTATATTTTAATCATTTTCTTAAAAAAATTTGTGTTTTTTAAAAATATTTTTCAAAATTCTTCTCAAAAAAATATTTTTCCAATCAAAATAGAGCCTTCAAATTGAAATTTCAAAGAGTGGTGTGGCATTAACAGATTGGTAGAAGTGGCTACAAATTAACACACCCTGTGGGTGGCCCATGTTGCTAATTTAATGGTGTCATAAGTGCTGCGAGAGGTGATGCAAGGTATAGTGTAGTCAATTTTCATGTAACTGTCAAAGGGCCTATAGGCAGCGCTGTCCAATGATTTCTTAAAGTTTGCTTCACTTATTTTCACAATCATAATGCTACACATGCCAACCATTATTCAGTTTGGACCTGTAGCTTGCATTTGCATCCCTCACCTTACCTCACCTCACCTCACCTCACCGGCCTAACCTAAATTTCTTTGTAGTTATGTACTTTGATAGTATCTCTGTTAAATTTACATTATTTGACCAGAATAAAGGCTGCTGGTAATAAAGTATATATTTTCATCATTAAAGAAAATCAAAGTATTAGCTAATTTAATTAGATTCATCTCCCCCAACTAAGAGGGTTGACTTTGTAGCAATAAACAAAATCACACATAAGGGAAATACCATGTGAGAAGTTTGTTATATCATGTCATAAAAGTTTCGTAGACCACGCCCTAATTTTCATCTAATATCATGTTCTTTTTTTTTTATTTTATTTAGATGATTAAGGTGTCTTCATATTTATTTTTATGTATTTCACTGTTAATTTTTATTTTAAATGATTATAAATATATATCTTTTATATTAACTTAACATTTTTAAAAAAATTAAAATTTTTACATGTTAATAACAAGATTTAAACTATAAACTTTCTCACCTAACCTAATCGTACTAATGTCATATTCTAAAATGTACAAAGACATTAGTTTCCTATTAAATTAAGATAATGTGACATATACCGAAAGTCTTTCTCATAGGCAGGAATTGGGTTACCTAAACAAAGACAAATATTGGATGTACAAAACAGTGTTCATCTTTACCCAAAAAAAAAACAGTGTTCGTTGGATTGGGCAACAAAAGTCACAACAATAGCATATGATTGTAGGAGTAGGAGTGAATTAAAATATGCCATATTTGGGAGTAGTGTATCCACACTGCCTTTTCTCGTGGCAAGTGACTGATTAACACAATTTTGTCAGCTTTTGGGAGTAACGACGATGTTGATTGGGTAGCACCTTTTTTTATAGCTTTTTATGTAACCTAACCTACTGCCACCTATTCCCCATTCTCTGTTACGAGGTAAAAATTGTAGAAAAAGTGATCATGCAAATTTGAACTGATTGAGCCAATTATGTTCTTAGCCCACTGATAAGGATTAAGTGGTATGGCATTTAAATTTTAGTTTTAAGTTTAATTATTTGTATTTATTTTTTATTTTATAATATTTAGTTGTATTGCAATTATTTTATTAAAAAGTTTTGTATTGTTTGAAAAAATATAATTTTAATTATTAAATAAAAGTTTTTTATTTTAATTACATAAGGTAATTATATTTTATTTTTCATCTTATCTCATATATATATCATACAATTTGAATTCAAGATTTTTCACTTTCAATAAAAGAAAATAACTATTAAGTTATTTAAATCATTAACAGAATTTGTTTCTAATATTAAGATTTTTTTATTTAATAATTCATATTTTATAATTTAACAAAATTCAAGGTAAAATAATAAACTCAAATTTTGTGGCCAAGGGTTGTCTTTTAATAATAAAATTTTATTAATAAAATACAAAAAGTACTTTACTCTTTTAAACCAATCAAAATCATATCTTTATTATCAGCATAAACAAATTATACTTAAATTGGTATATCTGCACCGACGCTCAAAATCTGAGTTTTCCTCCCATCCAAATCTACAGGGATACGAGAACAAACACCAGCAAATGACAGGAGCAATTAATAGCTGTCCAGAAATTAACATTCTAGCTTTCCCGTGTGTGTGAGAGAAATTAACGCCTTGAGAGTGGAGTCTCAACACTGTGCACATAACTCCCCTAAACTTTTCTTTGTGAGCTTAAGGGGTGTTGTGGTTATCACCATGTATGAAA